AGTTCCACCCGTTGAACAGTTTGCCTACTTGAGGATGTGTTTTTAAGGGCACGGATAGAGCTTCCGACACCCGCTAATTTCATTGACCCTAACATGAAGTGAGTAAAAGGAGTTAAAAGAAGTACTCTGACGAGCGATAGATGTACAAAAATTGCTCTTGCTCACCTAATAAGGGCCTACCGCGCATAAAAACTGCAGTTCGAACCCCAGCAAAGTAAAACAAAAGAAAAAGAAACAAATAATAAGGAAAAGGGGTTCCAACAAATGATATAAAATGAAAGAGCACCCGATACAAAGAGTCCTTGGTCGTTAAATTGTGTGAGTCTCCTTATCAATGAATTGGCTTTCTTAGTTCCACTACTTCTCATGATCCTGGTTTCAGTCTAGTACTCCCATTGAGAGAGATAGGGGACGTCTAAGAAGACCAGTTGACCTTGTAAGTTGCTAAATGCTCTAGGAAATCCTCTCCCGGCGATCGGGGTTGCATGTTGCTGTAAAGTTCTGGAGAGCTGCATTGGTTTCAGTCATGTTTGCTTGGGGACAAGCAAATGGTTAAGTGTGGGGGAATTTGATAACTCGATATTTGCACACGTTTTTGTCCACCATTCTTATAATGTTTGAGCCTCATTTCTGGTGTTTTAAACCGATTTCACTCTAGGTTGTTCTTGTTTGTGATATTTCAGGTCCTAGTACGTGAATGAAGCTTGGGCACGAGTTCGGGGTCGTTTGGACAGTTGATGGGAAGAATAGACAGTCACACGGCCGTGCAACTTGGCCGTGCGACACCCTTTTGCGTGGTCAAGGCGTTACGGGCCGTGCAAAGAACAAACCATAGGATCAATTTAGGAGCTGGGTTTCATCAATCAAGCTTGGATTTTGTCCTTGGAGTGAAGATTAACATCCCAGAGCTTATCGTACACATCATTATTAGTATGATTCCTCTTATTGTTGTTTTCTACTCTCTCTCTCTCTCTCTCTCTCTCTCTCTCTATGGAGTAGACCTTTCTCTCACTTGGGTATGAAGAACCCTAGTTTCATGTGTTAGGGATTTGAATTGTAATGACTTTTGGATTGATATAGTGTTTGATTATAATCGATTGAAGTCTGTTTATGGAGCCCATTGAATCCTGATCAACTTCTTTTGAGTTCTGCTGCAACCTGAGATAGATAGAATCTGATTAGGTTGTTAGAGCTTCTCCAATTGATAGGAATCAATTGATTGTACGAGAGTCAGTCAATGCACTACTTTGTCTAGAGCTTCTCTGTGAAACGCCTTATCAGTATATCTCGATGAAGACTAGTCGTCTGCCAAGTAGTCTGTCTAAAAGGGCTTGGTCAGCTTAAGAGATTCCAAGCTACAGTCGGATCATCTGCAGTTTAATCAACAGTAAATCAACCAAAGAAAATTACAACTTGAACTTAACTAAGGAGCTAGGGGGACTCAATCCCGAGTGACCTTCTCTTGCTTTAGAAAACTGGATAATTTACTGCTTTCTTTCTGCTTTAGGTTAAACTCATTTTCACTAAACTTAGTCCCGCTAGATAATAGATAATCATGGAGTAAGCAGTACATCTAGGACCTAGGTTGACATTTATTACTTGATTCCATTATACTGCATTTCCATTCTACGATTTCACTTGGTCGTAGTTTGGTGTTGTGTCGTAGCATGTCAGTAGCCAAAGGCTGCACTCAGACTATTGGAGTTGACTACCTGAACACTTTCTCTCCACTTGTCGAAATGACCACAATTCGGATTCTTTTAGCATTAGCATCGTATAACTGGCATCTTGAACATTTAGATGTTAACACAGCATTTCTTCATGGAGACCTCAATGAAGATGTCTACATGAAGCTACACCCTGGGTTACCAGTTCACCCTTCAGACAAAACAAAGTTTGTAAACTTACCAAATCATTATATGGCCTGAAACAAGCAAGTCGACAATGGTTTGTTAAGCTAGCTACCACTTTAGAAACACTTGGCTATCACAAATCTCACAGTGATTACTCCTTATTCACTAAGTATTCTGGTACATCATTTACAGCCTTATTAGTTTACTTTAATGACATCATTCTTAAAAGAAACAACATGGATGAAATAAAGCATGTTAAAAAGCAATTAGACTTTGCGTTCACAGTTAAAGAACTTGGAAAACTGAAATAATTTCTTGGAATGGAAGTATCAAGGTCCAAAACTGGCATTCATTTATGTTAGAGAAAATATACACATGGTCTCCTATCTGATACGGGTTTTCTGGCCTCCAAACCAACTACCACTCCGTCAATTCCTACTACTCATCTCTCTGACCACGAAGGAACTCGACTCAATGACGGTGATCATAGTAGTTAGAGGACATTGATAGGTCAATTACAGTACTTATGCAACACACGAATTAACATCTGTTATACTGTAAATCGGTTAAGTAGTCGTGGATGCCCCTACTTCAGATTGGGCTGGATGCCTGATACTCGTCGATCTGTAACCGGGTTTTGTGTGTTTTTAGGTAACTCGTTGATTAGCTAGAGGTCCAAAAAGCAACAAACAATCTCCAGATTGTCAGCTGAAGCATATTATAGAGCCTTGGCAGACACGTCTTAGGAATCGCAATGAATGACGGCTTTATTCAAACAACTTCCAATTCAGACTCCTCATCCCTACATGATCTGCTGTGATAGTCTTTCTGCTGTCAAAATGACTTAAGAATCAAGTCCTCGTTGTACGTAAGCACCGGGCCGGGCTACCCACGGGCAAGCACGGCACGAGCACGGTTAGAGCACGACACGAGCACGGGCGCGAAATAAATGGGCCAGCCTGACACGATCACGAGTAATTTATGGGCCGTGTCGGGCCTAAACTTCATGGACACGGGCACGAGCACGGTATATAAGTGGGCCGTGCCAGACCTAATATTTTGAGACTTTATTGAGTATAAGAATGGACATGGCACAAAAATAATATTTAATTGATAGAAAATAAATATAGAAAGAATTATAGGTTCAAATTATTACAAAATACATGTAGAAAAATAATTATTTGTGGTTGTTAGAAGTTTCATAAGGCTATATATGTAATTACTGGCATAAGTAAAAACGAACAAAGAATTAAACAAAGCCAAATCACACCCATTATACTTTCAATTTTCTTTTCCCCCTTATTTGTTACTTTTCTTAAACATTCTCGGTTAATACTATCTTTCTCCGTCCAATTTTCACCTTCTTTTTTATTTTCTATTTTATTTTCTTTCTTTTCATTAACAAATGGGCTTGCACGGCACGACATGAAAACTGATGGGTTGTGCCAAGCACGACCTGAAATAAATGGATCCGAAGCGTGCACATGCCGTGCCGGCCCAAACACGACCCTGCGCCCATGTACAGTCCTCACTAGCAAATTCAAGGTCCAACACATATCAACAACATTGCAACTTGCAGATCCTTTCACCAAGGCTCTCTCAATTCATAAATTCGACGATCTCATCTCCAAGCTTAACCTGAAGTCAATACATGTTTAGCTTGCGGGGGTATTAGGAGACATAGGATCATTCTTTAAATAATGAATAGTATAGAATTAATTTAGTATAGATTAAATGTAATTAGGATAGAATAGGTATCTAAATGTAATTTAGCCATGCTGATAGGTTCATAACAGGGTTTCCCTTCTTCGATATCTCTGTAAACCAGAGTATAAATTCAGCTTCTCTATCTAGATTATGTACGTTTTCTTCCTTCTGATCAGTAATAAAGAAGTTCGGTCAGAAAACTAGCATAATGCATGCATGGTAATGGGTCCAACGGAAATAGAACTTATAACTCAGTATTACCCACAAATGACAATTTGTTAATTTCTAGGAAGGTGATTTTTGTTCTCTAGGCGGTTTTTAAATCTTCAAATTAGATTGAAACTTAATTTCTGCCAGTATGACTTTACGTACGTTAAGGAAAACATTAATGGTTTTTCATAGATGACTTATAGGGTTTTCAACTACAAGTTAGGCGAATACATAAGTTGGTGTAGCCGTGTAGGTGTATTTGTTTCCGGAAAACCCATCAAATGTAACATAATGGTTTTATTAGATGACTTATAGGGTTTTCAGCGACAAGTTAGGCGAATAGATAAGTTGGTGTAGGCATGTTTGTTTCCGAAAAACCCATCAAATGTGACATTAATGGTTTTATTAGGTGACTTAATAGGGTTTTCAACGAAAAGTTAGGCGAATAGATAAGTTGGTGTAGGCATGCTTCTTTCCGTAAAACCCATCAAATGTAACATTAATGGTTTTATTAGGTGACTTATAGGGTTTTCAACGACAACTTAGGCGAATAGATAAGTTGGTGATCGAGCTTGATTATTTATGCTGAGGCAACTCAAAGGGAGTCTTTTTCATATTACAGCGTTACCAAAAACTTAACATGATGATGATGGGAAAGAAGAATGTGATGGTAAGTGTGTGTGTTTATGATGTTGATGATGATTGATTTGTGGAAACAAGCAACCGCCCATGTCCGTCGATTAAATGTTGGATGAAATGTATAAACAAGCTAGTGTTATTGGATTAATCAATAATTTACTTACATATGGATCAATGGATTGGATTAATTATATATTTGATGGATGGATTAGATTGAATTCTAAGAAGAAAATTCTATTATTACTATTAAATAGAAGATATTGGGATGCAAACCGATCGTCCAAGTCGACAAGTTTTAATGGTGAACGACTGAAATCGGTTGTGATCCAAATAGGTTGATTGTGTCCGATCTAACTTAATGGTCCAATGGGTTTAATAACTCTAATATGTATATACATCATTCAACTTCACGGTTATGTCCAAGTCCAACGATTTGTAGGCCTGGTTAGGTGACACCACATGCAAGGTTTGGAGGGTAAATGACATATACCTAATGGTTAGGTGACACCACATGCAAGGTTTGGAGGTAAGCCTGTTGAATAGTTAGCTATAAATACCTTAAGGTTTGGACCTGATGATCCACATCGCAGCCTTTCATTTTCATAAATGGATTTGTACCTGATGAGCGAAATGCCGGCGTTCTCGACTACGGTGGTTATTTTGATCCTGATGAGCATCTATGGAGGAGGAGCTGCGCCGTGGGAGAGGGACAGAGTTGGAACGCTTCCTGGCCAGCCGGCTGCCGGTGAGCTCCCGTTCAGCCACTTCAGTGGCTACGTGGAACTACCGGCAGCGGGGACGATGATGCCGGCAAGGCATATCTTCTACTACTTTGTGGAGAACGATAATTCCTCCCAGCCCGCCGCAGAACCGCCGTTGGTTATCTGGTTCGGTTCAGGTGAGTTATTATTATAACAGTAGCACTATTAAATTGAGGTTGGATAGTTACAATGCATTGTTTTTTTGAATTTTATGCACAAATGATATATGCATTGTTTGCTTGATTTGATGAAAATTATCACTCAAAATGAGTGATAGTAATATCTCTACTAAAATATGAGATTGTTTAGATAGTTTTGAGAAGATTGTTGAGTTTCTTTTCTGTTCCAATTATACTTCTAGTTATATCTATATGTTCTAATAAAAGCAAGGGACAAAAAACAATATAACTTGTTGAATACTAAAAGAACTATCACCAAAACCAAACAATGCAAAGTAAATTACATCCTTTTCATTAATTGTATGTATATTACAATGCATGCATTCAACACAATGCATTGATTTAAGTATCACCAAAACCAAACCACCACTAATTTTTAGTTACTAATAATAATGTTGGTTGTCGTTATGCTGTCGAAGGACAATTTTGCTCGCCAATTGGTTACGGCGGGATTTGGAAGTGGGCCCGTTTCGGGTCCAGTCCGACATGACGCTCGTGCTGAACGAGAACTCGTGGCACAAAGGTAACTTCGATGTTAGCTCACTACTTAATTAATATTGAATTCTTGCTTCCTTTGATTTATTGACATTTGAGTGGGTTATAACTTGGTTGCAGAAGCGAATATCCTGTTCGTGGACCTGCCGACCGGTGTTGGCTTCTCCTACTCCGAGCGCATAACAGCAGAGGTAATATCAGACGAGCAGGTAGCAAAAGATGCCGTCGCTTTCCTCCACCGATGGGCGGAGAAGTTCCCGCAACACCGCGAAGCAGAACTGTACCTTGGAGGAGAAGGCCACGGGGCACATCACCCCGTCCGCTTGGCTGCGCAAAGTATGCGAGACAAGGCGTTGCTTCCACCGGGGATGCGACTCCGAGGCATACTGGTATTGCTTGAAATCGTGTTTCTTAAAAATTTCACTAAATGAGCTATTTCAATGATGTTTTTTTGTAATAAACTTGCATTTATTTTATTTTGATTTGAATTTAGAAGAGAAGTTGCATAAAAACATAGATTTATTATGATATAGAAAGTTATATCAATTTGGGTTTTTTTAAGAAGTTAAGTTCAACCATTTATAGTATAATGATGTCAGTGATATTATATTATTACATACCACAATGAAATTTATCCAATGAGAAACGTTGCATGAAAGAGTAGTTACGTTGCATAATAAATTTTGGGATTACGAAAAATACTAAGTTAACTCACTACAACAGAAATTGAAATTTGTAACGAGAAGCAATAACGGTGGCTAAATGTCAAAATTTGGTGGTAAACCTACCTATATGAACTTTGGTGATCATTTGCCCGCTAGGCTGGAAAACCATTTTATATATGACGTTGCCTTATATTTATTTGTAGATGCATCATATATATATATATATATAATATTTTGTTATGCAGCTTGGTGATCCAGAGATGGATCTAGAGTCCACGTTCTTAGGATTCGTGGAATACCTGAGTGCAAAGGGCATGATGAGCCCGGCTAGCCGGCAGAAGGTGTTGACGACTTGCATCTTCAACTCCACGGCAGACTGTGGGATGGCAATGCACCTGGAGGCGATCGCCCTCGGCATGGAAGTGTCAGCCGTCATCGAGCCACTTTGTTCACCGAGCACTCACCCCACCTCCGTAAGCAAGCATGTGCATATTTATTTATAATTTCACATAATAATTATTGTTATTGATTGGTTTAATTCAAAACATGCAGAAATTCCTCTGGTTCGACCCATGCTCGGTCAACTACCTCCAAGAGTACTTGAACCTGCCAACTGTTCAGACTGCTCTCCACGCAAACCATTCACACCGTCTCCCGGGACCGTGGAAGATTTGCAGGTTATTTCGGATTTATCAACTACAGCTTTGTTAGACATTGCCTCGCCGGAAATCGATCGGTTAACTGATATATCAATTTAATTATGTCATTTTGTAGCAAAAATTTGAGGCAAGGGCAGCTTCCACCGGGATCGGATAAGCCCAACTGGATCACCGACACCATGAGGGAGCTGGCAGAAACCGGAGAGAAATTGAAGATTGCAATCTACCATGGCGATGAAAACACCAGGCCTCCGGTGACGGCCACCAGGTACGGCCTCGGCAGAGTGTTTAATCTCACAGAGCCGGCGGTGTTCGGGCCGTGGAAGGACAGCAACGGGGAGGTGGGGTGGGTGGGTACACGTCGGTGTATCTAGGGAGGAAAAACAACGTTACCTTCTCCACCGTCCGCGGCTCCGGCGACCATTCGGGCAGCTACCAGCCGGTGCGCGCTATGGATCTGTTCCGGAGGTTCCTCCGTGACCCTTGACCACCAGCTGCCTAATTGCTAATTAAGTGTGTGTTATTGTTAATTATGAGTGACAATTATGTGTTCAGGAAGGATCTAGATGTTGGAAACACCAGAGAAGCCCAACATATATGTAATTCTAACTTTTGTTAATTGCATATAAAAATTCTGCTATATATGTCCCTGAATTAAATTAAATAGTTAATAATAATTAAGTATCTACACAATACACAATACATACATTGTTGGTGAAAGTGATCGAGTGCTATGACTTTACTTACTACGTTACTATTTCTTCCTTTACTACGTCCAATTAGTAGAAACTGCTGGAAAAAGGATATCATCACAAAGTGCAAATGTATGATATTTTTATGTGAGCACTTTCTAATTGTTGCTTCCCTGCAATGTTTATTTCTTCTTCATAATGTTTGTATGTACAAAACCAGTATACAAATGAATCACAATAGCACTCAAAAGCAGTAAATCTTGTCTGATAGAATTACTCGTCTTCGTCGAAAATCTTCCTCGTTCGATTGTGCTCTTATTATTATGTCACGTTATCAACCCTTCCTTGTGATCGAAGTAATCCGAAGCAATTTTATTTCACTATGCAATCTCATAAAACTACCCATCAGATTTTCAACATTCTAACAATAGCTGGTGTTTACAACTTACTCACCTGCTAGCATATTTTACTTTCTAAAACAATACACATTATTCCTTCTTAGAGAGAATACCAAAATTTACATCCGAGTAAGAACAAAGGCAAAGTCAAAAGCGCAACTGCAAATCCGGCCAGCCTGCGCTCTTGGTTTCCAATGTAGTAATCTCATAAAGCAAATCAACAAGGTTATAACTTATAAGAGAGTTCCTAGAGATAATATATGGTTTGTATATAATGTTGTATATCTCCTTCCTAAAACGGGAACAACTATGGCTGAATATTTTAATGGACTGACTAAATATCTTAAATATGGTCTCATGGTTGCACCGATGATGTTTATGAAAACTAGGATGGCGCATTAAGGGTTGATTATGGGACAAGTACTATTAACCTAACGAGACTTTCCGTGTTAGTGATCTACCGCAAAGTACCTTTTAAGAGTGGTGTAAGTCGATGGTCGGGCACTTACCCCCCAAGCATAAACTAGGTGAGAATATAACTAGAAGGCGATGGTCACCTCAACCTCTAGCTAGATCTCTAGGTCAACCAATCAAGGTAAGAAGCATTCACACACATCTAAATCCTAATTAGAAACAGTAAGCACTCTAGTTTAAACTCAATTATACTGTAGATTCATGTGCAAAGTACTGAAAAATTTCCTAATTTGTTAATATGGTATTAACCCTAATTTCAGCAAACAAAAATATTTCGTTTGATGACTTTTTTATGTCAAGGTGTTCACCCCAATTAATCCGAATTTATAAGAGGATGGGGCACGTTTGTCATTATATATTAAAAACATACGGTAGTTTTTAGATTTTGTAGACAAAATAGCTTTTGTCACTTTAACTTTGTCATAATAAATATCTAATTTGACAAATCTCAAGTTTGTCAGAATTATAATGTCTATTGTGACAAACTTCGACTTTGACATTAATGTTTGTCACATTAAGTCATATAATGACAAAATTAAGGAGTGCACACGCGTGTGGTGATTGACATTAACTTTGCCTCACCACGAGTATAATGAAGCATATCACAAAACACAAACCAAAAATTCACCACATGCACCACACCACACCACTAATTAATAGAGTCATATAATTAGACAAGAGGAAATCAACAAGATGGTGGGAAAGAAGAATGTGATGCTAAGTAGGGGTGGGCAACGGGACGGGACGTGATACCCGTCCCGTTTGAAATGGGTACCCAATCCTTAGAGCAATCTCCATCCCATTCCTAAACCCGTATGGATTAACAGTACCCATTACCCGTACGGGAGGATAACAGGTATCCATACTACCCGTAAATACCCGTTCAATTGGTGGAAGAACTACAAAAATTTTAACACCAATTAAACAAACCCACCTAAAATGAGAATCTGCCACCGTCACTATCATGAACACAAAATCACACAATTAAGGAGAGTGAAAAGGCTAATATGAGAAATCTACAAACAATTACACAATAAAACAAACCTACAAACCACATAATCTAAACACTAAAAGAGTGAAAGAGAAGCCGCCAAAAAATCAGCAAATTCTTTAGTTCTTTGGCTCCAAAACAGGAGCAGCACCTTCTTTGTTTTTGTTTCCAAAATTCCAGTCGAATCCCTTCTTTGCACTAATGAGTTTTGGAATTTATGGACTAATGGGTATAACGGGTATCCGTAATACCCAAATGAGTATTAACGGGTAACCCGCGGGTACCCAAGTAGTGATTGTTGATCCAAATCCCATCCCGTTAAAAAAATGCGGGTATTTGGGTACCCGTAACCCTTAAAAAACAGGACGGGTATAGGTATACCCAAATACTCGTTTCCCGTTGCCAACCCTAATGCTAAGTGCTGTGATTATGATGCTGATAATGGTTATGTCGTGAGAACAAGCAAAACGGTTGTGTCCTTCAATTACTGTTGGATAAAATGTACTGACGGGTGTATGACGATGCCACATGTATCGATTGGTGCAACTTCTCTTGTGCGAATTTAGAAATATAGTTAAAATTAATAAAAATTCGTAGCAAATTTAGAAAATAGAGTAATGTTCTAGGTAAACTATTGTCATATATATGTGAAAATTTGTGTTCTTTAAGTAATTTATGAAGCATGATTGATATTATTTATGAGAATTCTCATAACCCAAAATGACTCAAAATCCTATCCGAAACCGAGGGATGGGTTAATATTTTATCCAAAATCAGCCAACCCAACATTCACACTGAAAATCTGGACCAAACATATGATAAATCGCGGTTATACAGTACTGTATGGTTTGGTCTAGACCATGAGTCCAGGAACACAATTTGGTATTCGGTGGTCTATCCCTTTAGCTTGCGGTCTGGGACGGTTTGGTCTTGTCTAGACCGCGATTAACAGTACAGACCGTGAGCCCAACTACTACTAGTGTGGGGTAGGCTGTGGAGAATTGGTGCGATCTCTGTCAAGACCCACTTTCTCGAAGAAATTCTGAAAAAACAGAGCATCATTGATCTAAAAGTTACCCAAACAAAATTTTTGAAATATGTTGTGTCATACGTTATGCTAGTGAGCCAAGATAAATAATAAGCCCACAAACTATGCTAAAATTCATTCTCTAGTGAGCCCTCACAATGTATTATAATATATATGAGTATATGTTTTCGTCAATCGCAGTTACGTAAGGTATACATCAGTTCATTGCTAGTTGCACTCAACATATCCACAGTGACCATAATCGACTCAACCGATCCATACCCATGAAGTTTTGGTCTATATTTGCTTCTTGAAAACGTGGCCTTTTTGAACAACGGAAATAAAATTTGTAACTTATTCATATAACTCTCGGTTTAAAATTACAATTTTATGTACTTCATTAATATGGTGGTTTTAATATCTTAAAGAATTAAATTTTATTTTGTTTCAGTAGTTTATAGATTTACGTTAAGGTCCAACATTAATGTTCTAGTAAATGGTATAGGTTTTCAAAAGAAAGTCGGGACAATATTTAAGTTTGTGTAGCTGGTTTGTTTTTGGAAACATCACATGCAACTAGTTGTTCATTTCTATTGAGACAAGCAAATAGAGTCGTATAATTAGACAAAGGGGAAATCAACAAGATGGCGGGAAAGAAGAATGTAATGCTAAGTGTTGTGATTATGATGATGATAATGTTTGGGTCGTGGGAAGAAGCAACAGCGGTTGTGTCCTTCCATGACTGTTGGATCAAATGTACTGACGGGTGTAATGACGATGGCACATGCATCGATTGGTGCTACTTCACCTGTGCGATGACGACAGCTCCTCCTCCTCCTCAACATCATAAGTCCACTCCTCCTGCAACTCATTCCTAAACTACTACAAGTATCCGGATTACAATCCTGCATGCATAAGGAATATAAGCAGATTGTTGCATAATAATTTTTTTAGTTTGATCTATACATTTTGCTTGTTTATCTTTATATCCTTCATTAATAAAAGTATTCACCTTCATTTTAAAACATTGTTCTAGGGCTATTGTATGTGTGGGTTACTAGAAACAATGCACTACCTTTTTTAGAGATTGATGGTCATTAATATGTTGAAGTTAGCGGGTTGTGGCTATCCTTTTATTTGTGAATATATTATTTTTAATAAATGTTGATATCAGTTTTGTCAAAATCTCTTAGAAAAGTAATCACTTACAATAAAAAAAAAATATTATTGTTGTCTAAAAATCATACTACTATATATTTATATTTTCTTTAATTAAAACACATCAATAATATTGAATAATCTAGTTTATATGGATGTTTTCTTTCAATTAATGGACGTGTACGTGTTTGACTTCTACAGAATAATTTTATTATTACTAATTAAATATAATACACTGAGATGCAAACCGGTCGTCTAGGTTGAGTGGTTTTAATGGTTAACCACTGAAATTGGCCGTGACCTAAGCGGTTGTGATCTCACCTAATTTGATTTGTTCAAATAGGATTCATGATTTGATTCGATTATGTTCGATCAAGCTTGAAGGTCCATCGGATTTACTATCACAATATGCACATACATCATTATCCATTCAATAATCATGCAACTTCACATTTCCTTAGCCAGTTGCGGAGCTAGGTTGAAGTCATAAGGGGCTATAAACCCTCTCTAAACTTTGAAATATAATTAAAATTAAATAAAATATTCGTAGCAAATTTAGAAAATAGAGTAGTTGGTAAGCCTTAGTCCCCTTCAATTAACACGGTTCAAATCAGCCCCTCACTCGGATTCATGTTCCATAACTGATGCTAGCCTTACGTTCCGGTTTTTTCAATTTAAATGATTAAACGATTCCAAAACTTAGCATGAAACACATGAAGATGATAAAAAAAAAAGATTAAATTAGTATTTCTCTAATTTTCCTAATAATCTAAGCCTCCCCGAAAATGGCGTCAAAACTTGAAAAACTTGCGGGTCGAATTTTAAATTTCTAAAGTCAAAGCGCACCTAATCGAACCCTAACAACAAGTATACCGATGCTAGGCTTGTAGTAAAGTGGCTCGGTCATTCCAATGAACATTAGGTTT